GCGCTCCTTCCTGGTCGACTCGCTGGTGCTGCGCGAGGCGGGCGAGAAGAAGGCGCCCGAGGGCAGCCCGCCGCCGCTCTTCCCCTACTCCGTCCCCCCGCCGCACGCGCTGCACGGGCTCTCGCCCGGCGCCTGCCACGCGCGCAAGGCCGGGCTGCTGTGCGTGTGTCCGCTCTGCGTCACCGCCTCGCAGCTGCACGGGCCCCCGGGGCCGCCCGCGCTGCCGCTGCTCAAGGCGTCCTTCCCGCCCTTCGGCTCGCAGTACTGCCACGCGCCCCTGGGCCGCCAGCACACGGCCATGTCGCCCGGGGTCGCTCACGGCCCGGCCGCCGCCGCCGCCGCCGCGCTCTACCAAAGCTCCTACCCGCTGCCGGACCCCAGGCAGTTTCACTGCCTCTCCGTGGGTAAGCGGGGCTGGCCGCGCACAGGCACCGGGCAGGGGTGATCCGAGCAGGTTGGGGAGCTGGGGCTTGGGGAAGGTGAACCTTGGCGGTCCTGGGGGCGGTGAAAGTCCCGTGGTGGACCGGGGGAGAGGCGGTGGCGAGGCGCTGGGGGTGGTGGGGATGGAGGGCCGCGGGCAGGACGCCGGGAGGGGAGGAGAGCGGGAGATCCGGACCTGGAAGGGGGGCATCAGAAAGACACGAGGTCTGGTGTCCAGGACGCTCTGTAATGGGCTGCCAGGACCAGATGACTCCGAGAGAATCAAGATCGTGTGGCTCGGCAAGGAGGCGTCTGAGGTCACACCGCTGCGGATCGTGCAGGGGCGCAGGGCAGTGTGAGAGCCCAAGGTCCCGGGATTCCAGCCGCCTTCTAGCTGGGGCTCGGGTCCACATCGCGGGGTCTGACCACTCTCGTTTCTGCCCTGCCTCCCCTTCTAGACAGCAGCTCGAGCCAGCTGCCTAGCAGCAAGAGGATGCGCACGGCGTTCACTAGCACGCAGCTGCTAGAGCTGGAACGAGAGTTCGCCTCCAATATGTACCTGTCGCGCCTTCGGCGCATCGAGATCGCTACTTACCTGAATCTGTCCGAGAAGCAGGTGAAGATCTGGTTTCAGAACCGCCGGGTAAAGCACAAGAAGGAGGGCAAGGGCAGCAGCCACCGCGGTGGCGCAGGGGGCGCCGCGGCGGGGGCCGGCGGGAGCGCACCGCAAGGCTGCAAGTGCGCGTCGCTCTCCTCCGCCAAGGGCTCCGAGGATGACGACGAATTGCCTATGTCTCCGTCCTCCTCGGGGAAGGACGACCGGGATGTCTCGGTCACTCCGTAAGCGCACACGTCCTTAGGCCGACCCAACCCAGGACCTCCCGGCGGCTCCAAGACTGGTCCTGGGACGCAGCACTGGTTCCTAGGCACCCCCTGCCCATCGATGGCCTCGCACGGATTTGGCACAGCTTTGCGGAGTCCCCCAGCTCCGGGAAGAGCTGAGATTTGAGCAGAGACCTGAAGGTGGTATCCGGGCCTGCAGGGCTCCCGGATGGCCAAAGGGAACTCCAAGCTGAGAACTCTGCCGCGCTCGAGTCGCCGCGGCTCGCCCGCTCTGCCCAGCGCCTGGCTGGCCGCGGACAGCTCCTAGCCATCCTTTTCTGGGCTGGCTCAGCGGCCTGTACTCTCCTTCACCTTCAGTCAAGCTCGGCCTTTGACGTGGATCCCCGTTTGCTTCCCTTTTTAAAAATAGCTTTCCCTCCCAATTCTTTCCTGTGGTTGCTTAATTCACTCACGCCCACACCGCACATTTAGGAGCTTTTCCCCCTTTCCTTGATCAGGCTTCGCGGTCCAAAGTCCTCGCAGCTTCTCTCCCAGGAGAGAAAATCACCCGTGGTATCCATATGGGGAGAACCGATGCGTTCTGTTCCCGACCTGCTCTGCGATTTGCCAAGTAGATCCCAGCTCTTCCCCCGCCACCCCTCTCTAACCCCAGGTCCTGCCGCGCCTGGGCCTAGCTGTGTAACTGTGCTGTTTCTGTAATACCAGAAGATATTTATTTATTTATTTATGTACAAAATTTTAAATAAACTTTTTTTTTTTTTTCTTAGAAGTGCCCGTGCCTCTGGGCTCCAAGACCTCTGTGGTCTGGACTAGACAGGCCCCGGCTCGGATTAGGCCTTCCTGCTGGTCAGGGCAGGGGTGGTTTTACCAGGGGTTCCTAGCTCCAGCCCTCGCCCTACTGCTCAGCCAGACCCCTCCCCGAGCCCGCAGCCCGGAGGAGACACAGGCCTCCACTCCGCCGGGCGCGCTTCCCAGGGGCGTCTCCAGCCGGCACTCCTGCCCCCGGGCGCAGCGGCTGAACCAGGGGGAAGGAAGGAGCCCCCCACGCTGCACGTAGGTCCAGACCCCTGCAGCGCTTTAGGTCTGGATTGGACCCCAGCTCCAGCCCACCAGGTTTTGCTCTCGCGACCTAGGAGATAGAAACAGAAAGCATCCCCACCCCCAAGTCCCTCCAGCGCAAGAAATCTGCGCTTTGCTGCGTTCCACTTGGTAGAACTCGTTAGAGGTGAGCCCCTTGTCTGCAGGATGGTGTGCCCTCCGCCTGAAAAGGCCTCTGGCTTTGCTGTGAGGCAAATTCTGTTAGTGGGGTGTCTGTTCCCAGACCATTCTAGACGAGACCTCGGAGCACTCAGGCGAACCCACTCTAGGGAGTTCCTGAGAGCAGCTTTGCGACCCCAGGTTCTCAAGAGTTCCCAGCTGCTAGCCCCTGACGCTCAGAAGCCACACCCCAGGCTTCCTGAAGGACACCCCGGGTCCTTTTGTGTTCCCTGATGGCTGGAGAGGAGGTGTGGGGGCTGTGCCAAGACCGCCTAAGGACAGGTATTGCTGCAGCTCAGGGAATCGCGCTGCAAACAGCGGATCCGGGTTCCCGGTACCTCCTGAAGACTCCCGTGCTGGGTCTCGGGCAGCTGGGCCACTTCTAATCCGTGCTTTCCTCACACTGTGGGGAGCCCAGTGTCCCTGTGTCTTAGCAAACAACCGCGTCTCTCAGCCGGAAAGGTGCTCCAGGTATGCTTGCTCAACATTTATGGGGCTCATTTCTAAAACTGTCCTTTCCTTCACGTCAAGCGGAGCGCAGAAGTCTCTCACCCGTCCCTCCTAGAACAAGGGTGGACACCCTGGAGAAGCCACTTCTGGTTCTTCTGGTGGAGGGCAAGTGCCCTAGCCAGAGAGCGCTTCCGCTTGCCTCCTGGCAATCTCCCTTCTCCGTTATTGCCCGCATTCCTGGGAAGGGGACACCGTGCCAAGGCAAAGGAAGCCACAGTGCTTTGGGGCACACTGAATAGAACGCCAACTAATATTTCATCGCGGTGACGATTGAGTCGCGCACGGATGGCACAGCTGGCCTAGATGTCCATAGCGTAGCTGTTCCTCCTTAACTCCCGTGAGACCTCCTCCCCACCCCCGTCTGCTTTTGGCTGGGACTTGGGGACCTATGCAGATGACCCCACGCAGACAGATTCGCGGTGGGGCCAAAAAGTCTGTTGAGAAACAGATCCTCCACCGGATGTCAGATGTCGGAAGGGGTGGCCTTCTGCCCTCCCGACAGCGCTGGCGCACAGGACCCTCCGTCGGAAATGCGGTTTGGACGTCAGGGAGCCCAGCTTCGGGCTGGAAAAGGGGCTAGGAGAGATGCGAATAGACGCAACGCAGGCCGCCTCCCCGCCCCCAGCCACGTCTTCAGTTTTGTCCCCCGGTGTGGGGGAGTATAGGGGTCCCTCCAGTTCCCAGCTGCTCCCGGAAGGCGAAGATGGGTCACAGAGCGCGGCTGTGCGCGGGTTCAGTTTTCTTGGGAGCCTAAGTTTCTTCTTCTGGCGGGGTGGTTCCTTCCCAGGTTGTTATCCCCGCCCCGCGCACAGAACCTTGCGCTTTGCGCGTCCTGCTGGGTTCCCCCGGAGAGCAGATGGAGAAAACTCGGCTTCTTTGCGGTGGCGCTACTCGTTCGCTGGGCCCTGTTGGGAGCGAGCACCGCAAAGTGTGGAGGCTGTGGGATCTCAGCGAACCGCCGGGCCTGGAGTGCAGCCAAGGGCGTTTGAATGCCAACCAGATTGGGCTCAAACACGTCTCACCTTGCGGCCTCTGAACTGAATGCACAAATAGTCCTGATTTCTTAAGAAGCCAAACACGAGGCTCCCGGCTCCGCCAAAGCCACTCCTCTGCGATGGGTTGGGAGCGGTGCAGAGGGATCTGAAGCCAGGGGCTACCGCAACAGAGCGCTCAGCGGGGGAGACAGGGTCCAACCTTTAAGTGGCAAGGTCCTGAGCTGCGATTTGGGGCTTGCAAGGCAAATTGTGAATTTAGAATCAAACTGAGTTTGCAGGGTGACATTTCCTCTAAAAGGGGGCTGGGGACTTAGCTCAGCGGCACAGCGCCTGCTTGGCAAGCGCGAGGTCCTGAGTTCGATTCCCGGTACCGGAAAAAATAAAGAAATAAAAATAAAAAAGCCTGGAGACATTTCCTGTAAAGTACCAATTAGCCATAGCCAATCCACATTTAGACCCCTGAATTTCTTTCAGGGACGATGTCCTTCTTTTCCGTATGACCGTTAGTGGCTAGGAGTTCTGGCCCTAGAATCCACACCCCTGACTTTGTGACCCATTTCCACATTTATTTAGAAGCTGGGTAGACCCGAGTGCACCACTGGTCCGTCCCAAACCACGGGTCCTTGCTAAACCTGTTTCTTCCCCCTGTCAGTGAGATTTTATCGGTTCCTTTGCAAGGTTGTCAGACAACATTAAAGAATAGAATTCACAAAATGTTAAACACCATGTCTGCCAAATTTCAATAAACTTTCACTGATATCGCAGTTGTGTTGTGTGGCTATTTGTGGGGTCTCTGGCTGTGCCTGAGGTATCCTCAGTGCTGAGTTATTTCCCAAAAAGTGACTGGTCACATGCAGGCTGAGATCTGCATCTACCACTGAGGGGCTGGAGAAGAACATCTGGAAAGATTTCCTGGACTCCTTGGAGTTAGTGGATCAGAAAGTAAGGACCGACTGCCTCTGCTCAGCCCCCTCTGCCTAGCACTGCTCAGATGCTGAGAATCACGTAAGTGGGCTTTTCACCTTCATAGACGGGGTCCTCCACCCTGCACTGTTGAGCGTGTGACCGGCTGAGTCTCTGCTGTGAGGAGTCGTGTGCAAGGAAGATGCTGAACTGCTTCCCTGGCCTCGGGCTGTTCATGATAGTAGCAGTTCTCCCCGTTACTCTCCAGGCATTGCCAGTCGTCCTCCGGAGGGCAAAAGGCACAGAACCACTCTGTCAGACCAGATGCTTTCTGTGGAAGTGCTCAGAGGACATGCTTTGGGAGCCCCGCTCTGGGCATAGCTTCAGTTATACCTCTCTTGAACAGCTGTACATTCTCCATCTGGGGTACTAGATGTGTACTGAGTGAGGCTCCCAGAAGGAAGGAGAAAAAGAAAGGCGTATGGGGGAGGAGGGGAGATAGCAAGGCCAAGGTCTTTGCCTGCATAGGGAACATGCTGCTAGTCTGGGGGTGATGGGTGACTCACAGGTGTGTTGCCTGATCAGATTTGCAGGGCCTCTAGGACGGACAAGTGGGTTCCCTCTCAGTGAGGTGCAGAGGCACAAGGCCAGCCTCGGGAAGTGATTCTCAGGAACCTGAAATCCCCCAACCCCCCTTTCTCTCTCTCTCTTTCTATCTCTCTCTCTCTCTCTCTCTCTCACACACACACACACACACACACACACACACACACACATCCTTGCATACTTGTCACTATTATGGTTCTTGCTGGACCACATGCTTTATCTGTTTTATCAGTATTTAGGAATCTGCAGCTAGAAATCAATTTCTTTTGATAAAGTTCTCTCATAGTTGGTTTAAAAAAAAGTACCCTTGAAAATAGTACTCAATGAGGACTGGGTGTGTAGCTCAGTGGTACCTGCTTAGCATATGCAAGGTCCCCGATTAAATCCAAAGCAAACACACACACACACACACACACACACACTGACGTGGGGGAGGGAGAAAAACCCATGAGTGCTGACAGACATTAGCTTTTTCTGAGAGAAGGTTCTAGAAGGCAAGGAGTAGAAAGACCTAGAAGACTGATGGGTGAGGGAGCCAGAAGAGCTGGAAAGGCAGGAGGAGGTAAAAAACATGGTACCATGATCTGGGGATGTAGCTCAGTGGCACAAGCACTTGCCTGGCAAGTGCAAGGTCCTGAGTTCAATTCCCATACCAAACAAAACCCCAGACAAAACAAACAAAACAAACAAAACAAAACAAAAAGGGGGCTGGGGATTTAGCTCAGCGGTA